CACTGACATTGCTGAAATTCCTGTCTACCTTTCTGAGAAGTTATTGGTTACTAAATGAGAAAATGTGTTGAAATGTGTGAAAAATGGTAGTTATTATATTCAATAAATTATTTTTAACAAAAGGATGTTTTAGAACTTGGGCTAGGAATTTAGCTCAGTGCATAAGTGCCTGCCTGGCAAGCGTGAGGTCGTGAGTTCAATCCCCGGTACCAAAAAAAAGAAAAAAAAAAAAAGGGTGTTTTAGAACTTGAAAGGCCCGGGAAAAAATGAATGTTCATGTTAATCATACATTCTGGTTCATAAAGAGTCACCCTTGATAAAATTTCATGCTCTTTGAGCACTTCTAGTCCAATACCAGTTTTCAAAGAACTCTAATTTAAATTATCACTGCAACTCTAGGCAAGACGATTCAAGCTCTGTTGGATGCTTCAGAGGCACCCCAGTCTTGTAGGGCCCCGGGGTTGGATTATCCTTGCATGGGCCTCACATACAAGACCAGGTTCACAGGACGGCTCGGATACGAGGGGTGGCTTTGCTTCTCCGTGTAGGTTTGGTGGAGGTTCCGGCTCCTGCTGTGTTTATTTACGAGTGGCTGAACACTGGCACACTGACAATTTCTTAGGCTCAAAGCTTTGATTCTCCTTTAATTATCTGCCTGAGACAAACCACGATGGGGACTCCTACCTAAATTAATCAGATAATTTTGACCCTACAGATGTGAGTCCTAGGACATGTTGAGTAGCGTTTTCTCGGCAGTTTCTGTGTCCACAACAAAAGCCTGGATAGCTGGACCCTAACTCACGCCTTTCCCCTCCAGGTACAGTGACTCAGTGTCTGAACTGGCCCTTGACCTGGCGTTTTAGTCCTGGAGGAGCACTAGGATAGCCCGGGGAAGCCTCGCTTGTGAATTTACCATCGCCGTCTTTAGCAATGGTTCTTCAAAATACCCTCTCTCCCCTCCCACTGCTGGCTTTGGGATTGCACTGTGGAGGCATTTTGAGATCTCGCCACCTCTGCTGTGTCTTAATAGGCATAGATGAGGATGCGAGAAAAATACAAGAACCTCACATCTGGGGGAAACGTGAAGGAGAGGAGCGAGGAAGTTATGTCTAGGATCATTTGATAGTGAAAGGCGGGCAGAGGGGCAACACGAGAGGGAAGACCCAACGTGCCCCATTTGCTTTTTATTAAAGACCAAGGACCCTGTTACACATCACTACGTGATTTCCTGAGGTTTTGTTATTGTTCATGTTTGTTGTTTGTGTTATTTTCTTTCTTCTTCCTTGCTTTGTCCTAAGGGCTGGCAGTAAAGGTGAAGCATCCATGTCATCATTTATGTGACACAGGTTCTGAGGTCCAGGTACTGTGCTGCCCTCCGAGGCCAACAAAATTAAGACCGACACAGTCCAGTCTTCAAGACTCTGGGGAGGTCAGGCTTGAGGAGGGAGACAGATGTCTTCATACCCAAAGAGAAGCCTTTGCCCGTCAAAGGAAAGACCATGAGAATACGGAGGAGGGGGCAGGATGAAAGAGCCTGGGGTTTGCTTTTTTGCTTTTTTTAACAGTAGCTATGGCAAGTTTAGACCCCGCCCGGGGAAGGGAGGAGCAACTGGGAAGAAGAGCTGGACCCAGCTGACCTCTAAGGGCACCTACCAGGAATGTCCCAGTGGTTAGAACACAGGTCCGGCTGATGCCCGTGAAAGAACCAATGTAGTTCCTCGCAGAGGGCCCCGGCAGGCGACCTGCCGGAGCAGTTCCCTACTCTGCCCCACACGGCTGCCTTCCCTGCCTCGGGGTGGCCTGTGGCGGTCACGCCCAGGAAGGACTTCTGCAGCCCGGAGTGGTCAGGAGAGTTTGATGTGGCAGCAGGCAATGCTGAGGCAGGGCAGGACCGCGCTGCAGCTCCACACCAGCAGCTCAAAGATGCCTTCAGAAGCTGCGCAGAGACAAAGAGAGGAGAGGAACGCCTTTCACAGGTGGAATCCGGTTCCAAGCCAGCAGTGTTTCCACCCCGCCAAACACACTGGCTGAGAAGAAAGCCCCTGATAACTGTGTACGCATCACCCTTGGTACATCGGGTCCTACGTCCTCCTGATTTACACGTCCCTTAAAGTGCGGATTTATCATCATCTCCTCCCTTGGCATCCATCCTCATGACTTGCCTCTTAGTTCTAGCCTCCCTGGAAGATAATTAATGAGCTCGTAATATGGCTTTTGGGCACCGAAGGGAGCGCACTATTTAAAAATGCCTTTCAGGGTATTTTTTTTGCAAAGTGAAGAATCCCTTTGTCATGCAAAAAGGAATCACAGACATTGGGTGAATGGTGCCCTTTTGAACTTGTGGACTGTTCAAAGGCAGATGAAGAAGTGTGCCTGGATCAGCTTATGTTAGTCGAAGGCGCAGGTACCTAGCAGTTGCCAGGACACCTGAAGCGGGGGAGAGGGCCTCATTAAAACTTTTTATTACTTTGCTGATGGTTTTGTTTGTCTGCTTGTTGCATCCGTACTCGTGCGTCGGGCCTCCTGGGGATATAACGTGTGCAAGACAGACACAGTCACTGTCCTTATGGTGCTCACAGCCTGTTGAAGACAGATAATGAGCACATAATTATGCAGGTAATGAGTTCACTACACATTTGATAAATGCTACCAAGGGACCAATGAGGGAGCCTAATGAGGCCTGAGCTGGTCTAGGGGAGGAAGACTGGCCAGGAAAGTGGCACTGAGCTGAGGTCCAAGGATGAGTTAGAATTAACCAAGAGAAAGGGCACTTTGGGCAAGAAAGAATGTGCCAAGGCCCCAAGGAAAGAAAGAGCCCAGCCCTTTGATGAACTGGCAAAGGACCCCGGGGGAAGCAGAGTGATAGATATGGGGAGAAAATAAATCTCTGGGATGAAGGTGGGCACTGAGATGATCATCTTTATGGGGTATTTTTTGAATTGTATCCTAAGGACATGAATGAGTTTTTAGCAAGTGGCCCAGGTGACCCTTACGATTGGGTAGGCTGGGGAACCTTTGTCTAGACTTTAAGGGCCACCCCAGGTCTTGGATTCTGCCCCAGGGCATGCTTCTTGGGGCAGTCCAATATGCAACAGCAGGCAGCTCCGCTGGGAATCATGGTGGGGCTTCTTTGCGCAGAGATGCTGGCTGTGTTCTGGAGATCTGACTGTACTCTGCCGATGTATCTATCTTCCCAGCTCTGTGGCCAGGCCCAGGAGGAAGCCGTGGTGGCAAGATGCCCTGCCAAAATTAACACTCACTGCTGGGCCATCCCAGTGCTTGTTTCAGCAAAGCTGGGAAGCGAAGAGATACAGTTTCCTAAACCCTGAAGAATCGCATCTGTTCAGCTGCAGGTGAAACCTGCTGAATCAGGGACAGCTGCTGTGATGGGCCTCCTGGGGGTGGGGGAGAAAACTCCTCATGTTAAGTTCCTAAAGTGAGGATGAAGGAGCTCTTGGGTCAGCACTGCTCTAGCGGTGTTTTAAAGTTTGTTGGCCAGCTCCCCTCAATGGTCAAGAGGGCCCGGGGGACATATGAGAAAGCTCTGGGAAGCAGGAAGTTCCTGGGGTTCAAATAAGTTAAAATTTCTTCACAAAGCTTGAATTAAGCTCTAAGGCAGTGGCTGCACTTAAAATAGAAGCAAAACCTAACAAAATTCAGCAAAGAGCTTTTAGATGTATTCATGTGAGCTCCCTGTGCAGTGTCACGTGCAGGATCCAGGGGTCTGGGACCTTGGACATCCAACCAACTTGTGGCGCCCGGAGGGACAGAGGGGCATCTTGAGTGCCTGGAGCTTGAGGTTTCAAGGAAAACAGGTGTGGTGTTTTGGGGCACAGGGTTGGGGACGGAAGCTTCATTAGGACAGGGCGTGGGAGCTGATGGAGTTTGCCAATCTCTCCATCTGCTGCGACTCAGGAACAGCTGCATAGCCTTTGCAGTCCGGTTCCTTGAAGACTGAGACTTGGCACTGATGGCCAGCGTGCTCCCCACATGCCAAGTACTTTGTTTAGGTAAAGTCTCCTTTCATCAGCCTCCTGCAGGCTGTGATTTGGCTGCCTAAGGAGACCCATTAAGCAACCAGGGCTCCGGCCTTGGTGAGGAGTTTGGAGCTCACAGAAGTCTTAGGGCTAAGAGGTTGCAGCTGCTCGTCCTGCTAGGGTTCCTTGGCAGCTCTGAGCTGGGAGCACATTGGTAGCAGCTGAAGAATTCTGTCCATAAGACTGGTGGAGAGCTCCTTCGTAGCTTTAGGAAGAAGTGAAGTGACATATGCATGGTGGTCCAAGAGGTGGCCTGTGAACTCAATCGTGGGCACAGTTTGGGGGATCATGTGTGAGTCAGGAGAGAAGAGGCATTGGGGTGGGACACAGAGGGCAGTAGTGGGACAGAGGGTGGTGGCTAACAGCATTCAAGGTGCTGTGAGATGTGAGCCCCTCTTTGCTTTGGGATGGCTTCTCAATGGCCACGGAGGTGGCAGAAAGTGTTGGGAGGTAGTTTGGGGCCCACTTTGCTGCAGAGAACAATTGAGTTTCAGATTCAGACGGAGGTGTCACCTGAACATGTTTAGAAGTAAGTTGAATGTTGGGGAGTCTTAAGCCGCTTTCTTGGGGTGTTCATCAGTGAACAAACAGACAAGAGCCTGCTTTTATGGGGGACAGACAGAGCTCACAAAGCAATCAGCAAAGAAGGCCACGGGCTGTGCCGGAAGAGGACAGGGCAGCAGGGTGGCGTGCTGGGCTCTATGGGAGCGTGGAATTTGATCCCAGCGTTGGTGCATTCAGGGAACAGAAAGTGCACCACTGTGACTGGGGTGAATCGAATTAAGGAGCCAGGCCGCCCTGGGTACAGTGCAGAGATGAACATGTTATCACATACAGCCTGGGTGAGCTGGAAAAAAGGGTTTGAATGTCTTTGGAGTGCAGTGCAGTGGTATTGGGGGTTTTCTTCAGGAAAATGACACAATCTTATTTCCATATTTAAAGCACCACCTTTTCTTCTGTATTAGTGTTCTAGGATTACCAACATAAATAAATAAGCTACACATTGACTGAGAAGCATAAAACAACAGAAGTTTATTTTCCCAGTCGTGGACGTCAGAAGTCCAAATCTAACGGCCAGCAGGTTTGGCTCCATCGGGGTCTGGTGGTAGGGCCTGAAGGGGTGTTTTCATGGGTGAGGCTCCCAAGGAAAAGAAAGCATGCGGGGGCGCTAACATCAGCAACAATAGCAAGCAAGCCTGTTTACTGCTTGGCCTGTACATATTGGCCGTTAGGCGCCAGTATTCTGGTATGCCGGCCTAACGGTGAGCGCATGCGCGGTTGTCTATCCTTGGTCATGCATCTATCAGTGTATCCCGTTGTATGCATGTGCCAGACAGCGGGTCGTGTCCTTGTGTGTCCTCAAATGCCCCGGGCTTTGAAGCAGTGCACTGTGGCTCGTCACAGGCTCCTTCAGGAGGCCTTGACGGAGAAGCTCTTCCATGCTTCTCTGTTGTAGCTTCTGACACTTGCTGGAAATCCCTAGCATTCCTTGGCTTGTAGCTGCATTACCCCAGTCTCTTCCTCCTTCCCCTTTCCCCTGTGTGCTTTCTCCATTTTTGTTTTGCAAGCACATTTTTCATTAGATTTTGGGCCCACTTGAGTTAAGAATAGAAGCTCAATGCCCTTATGATGTCCGTAACTGTCATGGTTTATGTCTGGGGCCCCCAGGCCTCATGCATTTGCATTGTGCATTTGTGACTGGTTCATTGTCTAGTGCTTGGATTGGGGATGTGAGTGTTACACCCGCCTAGGGGTGGAGCCAGGATGTGATATAATAGCAGGAAGAAGGTGTGTCTCTCCTCTCTCTTGCAGATTTCTGCCTTGCTGTTTGCAGCCGCCATGAACTGTGGTCCGCCATGCCACCCTGCCTAGGAGTCAACTGAGTATGGACTGAAACCTCCAAAACTTGTAAGAAATAAACCTTTCCTTTCCCAATTTTGGGCTTCAGGTATTTTGTCTCAGCGATGAGTTAAAAGTAACTAAGACAGTAATGACGTTTTTCAAATAGGATTAGTTTACGGGATTTATCTTTTGGGAGCCACCATTCAATGCATTGTAGCTATAATGTAAGAAATGGATTTAGCGTGAGAACAGGAGCAAGGAGACAAGTGATTACTCCCCGGAGCTGGGATGAGGGTGTTGGTGGAGTAGATGTGGGCCGGTCAGGCTCTCTGAGGCTTTGTCAGGAGGCTTGTAGAGATGCGGGAATGATACCAGTCCCTGCTGTGTAGGGCACCAGGGGTGGTAGGTGAAGCCATGCACGAAGAGTGCCTGGTGTCATCGTGGACCGGAGTAAAATGCCCAGGAAAATTCAGCTTTAGCGTTCACTACTGTTAACAATATTAACAGAACCATCAGCCTGGTAAACTTACTTTGTGAACAGGGACTGGTTGGCTTTTCTGTGAGTTGGAGAACTGTCAGTTGAGAGTTTTAGCTCCTGTGGGTGTGGCTTGCTGGCTGCACAGTCTATGCTGGTGTCGGGGTGCTCAGGCAAGAGGAGCGGGGCATCCAGGGTGCTGTCAGAGAAAACAACAGGCAAGGGGTGGAGTTTGATTGGTGCACATGTCCTAGGGACTGACCACCCCGAAATCCAAGGGCAGACCACTGGCTGGTGCTCTGAGGCAGAAGCTAATGCTACAGCCCATCGGTGGATTCTTTTTTTTTTAATCTCCAAGAAACTTCAGTTTTGCTTTTAAAGCCTTTTAGCCGATTGGATAAAATCCACCCAGATTATTGAGAATTATTTCTCCTTCTTCAAGTCAATAGATTGAAGATATTATCCATATATACAAAATAGGCTCACTGCAATATATAGACTATTACTTAAGTGAATATCTGGGTCCTGGCCAAAGCGGGCACATAAAAATGTCACAAGGGATAACTCAGTAAGGCAGTCCACAGCTTGAGGTAAACCTGGTGCTTTCAGAGAAGGTAGATCAGGAAGAGGTCAGCTGCAAAAACAGCATGACTTGGAGTTTGAGTGAGTGTGAATAAACCCAGGTGTTCTGGAGAGAAGTGGACATTCCTGGTAGTAGGTGGTGGCCCAGGGAATGGATCACAAGGTGAGCACAAGTCCACTGCTTGGCTAAGGGGGCAGAGCAGGCACTGAGAATCTGGGTCTGTGGTGCAGCTTTCTTAGAGACTCATCCCAGAGAAGCTAGAGGGTTTTGGCAAGAGTTAGGGCTCAGATCAAGCCTGGAGGTGAAATATGGGCTCCTATAGATGCCGAAATCCTCAACAAGTTACTGGCAAATAGAATGCAAAAGTCATATATCATGACCAAGTAGGCTTCATTTCAGGGATGCAAGAAGGGTTCAGCATACACAAATCAATAAACGTAGTACATCACATAAATAGAAGCAAAGACAAAAATTCCGTGATCATCTCAATAATGCAGAAAAAGTCTTCGACAAAATCCAACATATTCATGATACAAATCCTGAAAATAACACATATAGAAGGACCTTGTGTCAACCTGATTAAAATCACTATGTCCAACCTACTGCCAGCATAAAGTGGCTGAAAGACCAAAAGCTTTCCCTCTAAAATCAGGAACAAGACAAGAATGACTACTATCACTGCTTCTTTTCAACATACTATAGTACTTCATTTGTCAGAGCAATCTATCTATCTATCCATCTATCTATCTATCTATCTATCTATCTATCTATCTATGTATATGAAAGGAAGAAGTCAAAACATCATTGTTTGCAGATGACAAGATCCTCTGCATAGAAGTCCAAATAATTCCACCAAAATACTCCTAATAACCAAATTCAGAAATGTAGTAGAATACAAAATAAACACACAGAAAGCAATAACATTCTGGTACACTAGTGCTGAGCTCACCAAGAAAGAAATTAGGAAAACAATATCATTTATAATAGCATGAAGAAAAATTAAATAGCAATTAACCTAGGCAAGGAAGGGAAAGACCTTTATGTTGAAAACTATAACACTACAAAAGGTAATATAAGAGGACATCAGAAAATGAGAAGCTATCGCCTGTTTCTGGATAGGCAGAACCAGGATAGTCAAAGTGGCCAGAAATAGTGCAATCCCTATCAAAATACCAATATCTTTTTTCATGGGATTAAAGTATGCAATCCTAAAATTCATATGGAACCAGAAGAGACCCAGATAGCAAAAGCAATCCTGGGCAAGAGGAAAGTAGCAAGCATCATAATTCTGAACTTCAAATTATATTACAAGGCTACTATGATAAAAATAGCATGGTACTGGCATAAAAAGAGACGTGGATCAGTGGAGCAGCACAAAGGACACAGAAACATTTCCAGGTACATTCAGCTATCTGATCTTTGACAAAAGGGCCAAAAACATACATTGGAAGAAAGATAGTCTTTTAAATAAATGGTGCTGGGAACACTGGCTATCCACATGCAGAAGACTGAATCTAGGCCCCTATCTCTCACTGTGTAGAAAATTAAATAAAAATAGATCAAAATCCAAATGTTAAAACAAAAACAATCTGCTAAAAGGTAGAATAGGTAAAACCCTTGAACACTTAGGTATAAGCAAGGTCGTTGAACAGAACCCCAGTTACACAAGAAGTAGCGCCAAGAATCAACAGATGGGATCAGAGCAAATTAAAAAGTTCCTGCACAACAAGGGAAGTAAACAGCAGATTTAAGGGACAATGCATAGACTGGGGAAGATGTTTGCCAGTTATTCCTCACAGAACTAATGTCTAGACTTTATGAAGAATGAAACAACATTAGGTCCCCCATAAATGATGCTATCCAAAATAGGAAACTGAAATGAATACACACTTCTCGGAAATGTGCAAATGTCTGGTGCGTACCCGAAAAAATATGCAACAGCTTCAGCTGTTACAGAAATGAAAAGGAAAATAACACTGAGGTTCCATCTGACTCCAGAGAATGGCCATCCAGAAGATGTCAAATGATAGCAAATGCTCATGAGGCTGCAGGGCTAGAAGGCCCCGCTACGCTGCTGGGAATGGACGCTAGTGCAGCCACCATGGAGACCAGTACGCTGACTCCTCAGAAAGCTAAAACTAGAAATTCCATCTGACCCTGTTAGTGCCCTTCTAGGTATCGTCCCAAAAGTGTTAAGGACTTTGTGTTATGGTGATTCACACCTAGCCATGTTTATAGAAGCACAATTCACAGCTGTTAAATATTGGAAGCAGTTTTTATGACTATCAACAGATAAATGGGAAAAAAGTATTTACACAGTGGAGTACTACTCAGGCAAAAAGAAGGGTGAATTTGAGCCGTGTGTGGGACATTAGATGTATCTTGATACCATAATACGAAGTGAAAGAAATCAGATACACGAGCTTAAATATTGCATGGTTGCTCTTATGTGAGACACCCAAAATATGAATAATGGACAAAACAAAAGATATAGCAAACAGGTAGATAGATCTTTTGCAAATGAGAAGGGGAGCTACAGGTAGAGGGAGGGGACCGCAGGGGATGGGTAAGGAATTAGGGTGCAGTTGGTACATGTACCAGATCCCCAGGAGGAATGTGATCATCGTATACTGCTAACATGTACCAGTTTAAAAAAGTACGAGCCAGCAGGAGGAAGAGAGTCAGGGCGGGAAGCAGGCAGGTGTTGCTGCCGACGCCCTGTCACTCGTGATCTGGAGACTCGGTCATCCCAGCATGCCTTCATGTTGTTCAGGAGTGATTCTAATAAGGGTTCACAGCGGGTGCCGACAGGGAGCCTCATGTGTACATGTGGAGCTCTCCTAAAACCTCAGGTGTCTGGAGTGCTTACCTACCATGAATTGTGCTGCTACATGTCCATCCACAGATGGACGGATAAAGGAACTAGACATTTACACACAGTGGAATACTACACTGCCACACAAAGGTAAGCTTAGACACCTGTAGGAAATGGATAGACCTGGAGACCATAATGTTTAGTGAGCTCAGACACGCAGGTTTAAATATCGCATGGTTTCTCTTGTATGAGAAATCCAAAATGTGAATAAAGAGCAAAATAAGAGATAAGATCATAGGAAATAGGGAGACAGATCTTTTTCAAGTGGGAAGGGGCTCAGGAGATGGAGGGCAGGGCAAGGAGGGGAGAGGGAGAGGGAGAAAAAAAAGAATAGGAGGTATTACAGACGTGTACCAACTTCCCATGAGGGACGCAGGCACTGTGTGCTGAGAACGTGTGCTAATGTAAAAGAGAGGGACTGTCAACGCAGAAAATAACAAAGTGCTTTATTTTTTTAAGTTTTATTTTGCAGGTAGTAAAAATACAACAGAACATGACAGAACAAAGCCAGTGGAGACAGTGCGGTGAAATTGGTACAGAACTTCCCAGCAGGATGCCCGGATAACAGTAGTAGGTACCACGGTATATCTCGTTACCCACACAATCGCTGTCCATTCCATCAGGCATAGCGAAATCAAACCAGAGACAGAACATGATAAAACCAATCAAAAGAGAATATTGAATAGAGCAAAATAATTAATCATAACAACAAAACAGTGAAAACATTGACCTTCAAACAGAAGAGAGAAGCAGATCCCCATATTTGCTATATTGCGTATGGTCATTCTCCCAAGAGATGCCTAGACCTCTGCCCCAGTTCCTATGTGGGGAGAAAGGGACATTGTGAGAGGTTAGGAGGACTGCAGGAGGTCGTGCCGTGCATGGGCCGTGGCGCTGAGATGCCTCCCACTGATCCACGCAGCCACCTCCAGAGCCCATGTCCTGAACCGTCTTACTCCATCATGGACCCAAAAGAGCCCGCGCTTCATGAAACACGCTGAAAACAGCTTAAGAGCTTTTCATTTCCATTAGGGGGGGATCGATGAGCTAGGGGAGGAGCGCTTGCGGGAGGTTTACAGATGAGAGGGAAAGCCCAGGTGCTCAGTTGCTGTTGAATTCCAAGCCCTCTACCAGGGAGAATGATCTTGCTATGGGAACCATAGAACAGAGGGGAGGAAACCAGGGCCCAGTGTCCGTGCGCAGGCAGGAAGCCAGCACCAAGTCACAGAAGCAAGCTCTGGGCTTCAGGCTTCCGTGAAATTCATCTCATGAATCTGCTGGAACTTTCACGCATGAAATCGATGCTGCTGCTTGCTCCGCAGGATACAGAGATGTTACTTTTGAACCTCCTCCTTCCCCCGTGTCTGGCAGCTGCTCTCCTCAAGATATTTATGACACTCAGCCCAATCTTCTCCGTATCTAGCTCAGAGAAGCCTTTGGCACAAGAAGTGTATTTCAAGCATAAAGAGTGTACACCACAATGGTGCGGCAAATTTCTTGAGAAGTTTAACATCGAAATGTCACCTTCTCATCCTTCTCTTTGTCCTTCTTGTAGCTGAACAGTGACCACCAAAAAAAGAATGGGGTGTGGCAAAAATGATGCCTGTAACAAATTCAAACCTTTGCTGTGTGTCTCTAGTTGGGAGATGCCAGCTAGGTGGTCCTGTGAATTGCAGATAGGCTCCTCTGTGTATCTAACATCCCATGGACACTGCTAGCTCGTTACAGTCTGGTGTGTACAGAGGAAAATCAGAACAATATGCATTGTCTTTGGTTTCTTATCCTCACGTATGGTCCCAGACTCATCATCCTGGTGGTGACAGAGCTGCAGGAGCCCAGCACAGAAACGAAACAGAAGGCTGTGTTGGGAACCAGCCCACAGCACTCCTGCTAGATACCTCTGGCCAGAGTAAGTCACAGTGAGCCCCATCTCAAGACGTGGGCAACATTCTGGGGAGGAACAGAAAAGCCACAGGCAAACAGAGCATGAATGTAAGTGATCTCCCCCAAGACCTCGCTGAGGGCAAAGCTTGCTTTGGGATCCTGGCGGTCCACAGCTTACATCCCTGCCCTGAAGATTTCCTAGTACAGCGAAGACACTGGCATCTTGTGGGCTTGAATATGGAATCTGGGTGAGTGCGTGCGATTTTTATGTGCTCTTGATCCACACCGAACAGGTCCTTGGTACCATATGCTGCTGTATCTCTCTGGCTGACTGTAGCAAGCGGTTTTCTACAGCAGGGAACAAAAGTCCTCTGAGATGTGTCCCAGTAAATGTTACAGCTCAGCATCTTCTGGCCATTGTCTGGTTTTTCTTAGAACAACAACAGAGGAGAGGCAGATTCCTCGGTGCCTTTGAGCAGGGCAGGGGAGGTGAGGGAGGCAGGAGGACCCCAAGAAGATTCAGTCACTACAGCAACTCAGCTCTCTGATTTCCTCCACAGACAGACCGCACGAATCACACCACCCATGCTTCTATGTTGTGTTTGCTTGATTGAAATGCAATTGTCAGCAATCTTCATCTGAACTCCACAAGAATAACAACCCCATCTGCTTACTTCTCTCTCTACGCCAGATTCCTTACAGCGAGCTACATGATAGGCATTCTCTAAATATTTGCTGAATACAAAGAGGATAGGTGGCTGAAGACTCACTGTTGAGAGCTTCCGAAGTGATTTTCAGTAGAGGAAGGTTGCTTTAGAAGCTGCCAGGCAGTGAACTTGACTCTCCTGAATGGTGCAATCTGGGCTAAATGAACACACAGAGGGCTCCCGAGGTGGTGGGAAAGGAGGCTGGAGTTGCTGGGAGCTAGGATGGGTTCACCGAAAACAAATCACGGTGAACTGGCTCAGCTCTCATTCCTTTTATGATTGGATTTTTGTACTGTTGTAGCAGCCTGCAGGCACGACACATGTGACTCCCAGCAAGATATCTGATGAGATATTTTATGTAACTCCCATAATCAACAGGTGGAAACAGGACCTGGATGAGTTAGCAGGTTGATTTATAACTGGGTGTTTAATGATATGTAAAGATCGTCTGCTAATGTCAGTGTCTGGGAAGGGGAAGAGAGTTCCTCTCCCCGTGTGTTGTGGGACTCTCGTCTCTATTTTACCTTGTTCACATTGTCTAGGCTAGGACACTCTTATGGTAGGCAGACGTGTTGTATTTCCAAGTGATCCGAAGCTCTAAGGAATGATCTTACCTGCTAGACGATGGAGCCCGGATTCTACATCAGAGGGATCTTGTTGGCAAGGTCGGGCTGAAACTGAAAGATGAATTTGAGTGGGAATAAATTCACAGCAGAGAATGGGTGTTTCAAGACTCATTTGCGGAGGAGTGGGATTGCAGAGGCCTGGCGTAACAGCACACAGTCAATTAGAGCCGCTGCTGTGACACGGTGGCTAAGAAGCTGCATGTCTACGCTGAATTAATACAAGCGAAGTATTAAGATCGAGGGCGATTACAGTCCCTCTGTCCCCTGAATTTATCAGACTACAGCCATTCAATAAAACATTTATTAAGTACCTCTCTATATCAAAGTCTTAGCTGGGAACTCATTAAATAAATTGGTGTGAGTTACAAGGAACTCCCCTCTCCTGGTGTATGCAGCTGGTATTAGAGAGGCCCTGGTTAGAGGTGCACACACAGGTGCTAGATCAATGCCAGGATCCCGGTGCGGCTCGCACCCTGGTCTACACTCTGAGGGCTCCGTCTGCCTCCTGAATTTACGTTTCTAACCTTAAACCTCTCACTGCAAGTGAATGGATGTTTGGACTTTTATTCTGTGTTCTTTTAATGGCTTTTTTGAGCACCAAAGCTCTGTGTTCACTCCTGATTATCCTTTGATCTTTCTCTTTGTTGGGCATTGGTGTTGCTCTCTCCTGCTGCAGAGTTTCTCCCTTACATCTGTGGGAAGGAACCAGAAGGGGCTCAAGGTGACACTGTCCTTGCAATCTTAGAGAAGGGCTTTGTTCAGGTGGAAGAGCAGGGTTAGCCCCACTTAACCCACACGAAGTGAAGTTCCCACAGGAATAATTCTCTGTGATGAGAGAAATGGGGAAAGATGCTCGGGAGACAGTAGATATTTATAAGCCCCACTTTTCTGGAGGAATGATAGGAGTGCGGGTGAGAAGAAGGGGAAGAAAGATGCCAGGACGGCTTCCTCTCTCGCTGCACAAACCAGCTCCTGCATCAGGGGGAGGGCGGGCTGCGGTTCCTTTTCATCCATCACTAGTTGAAGGTTAAAGTGACTGTTTTGGTTTCAGCTGAGACGCGCTTCTGCCCTTTTCCCGTTCACATCTGGGTGTTAGCACTGCCTGCCTGTCTTCCTCAGGTGCTTCAGTGGAGGGACGAATGTCCTGGAGCCCCCAGGCTAACAGGCTGAAGGGCGCATCAGTGCCCGTGCCCAGGCAGCCCGTGCAGACATCCGCATCCGCTCTGCAGATGCACTGGGGGTGGGTGGGGGGCAGGAAGAGCTGCTCATGCTCAGGGCAGCTGCTCTGTCTCTGCCCTCCCAGGAGGACCATCATTTCAAAGGCTCCCTCAGAGCGGCGAAAGGGACCTCCAGCCTTACTTCTCCTGTCCTGTACCTTCTCCCTGTGAGCAGAGGGAGAAGACGAATTCTGTGCCCTAGAGAATCCAACTCAGACTAATTTACACACTAGATCTCAGGGCCCCTTCTAAACCGTCACATCCTTGCCTCTTGATTACTGGACTCTCAAGGGAATGTTGGTGCAGATACCCAACTAAATCGTTCATCTTTGTGTCACCGGTTTGGCCCTGGACTTCACTATGGGGCTGAAAGTTGATTTGCAGAAAGTTTTCAATCCTAATGATGCTTCCTGAGACTGATATTAGAATGGGTGAGTTCTATGAAATGTCGTAAAGCCAGCGGGCCTATGGATGGGTTATTTGATATCAGAAAATTGGCCTTCAGTGAAAAGGTCATTGCAGATCAGACACAGAATGGGGGAGCCGCAGGAGGTTCAGAGTGATTATTTGTACTCAAGCTTAGGTCCACAAATGCCACCTTTTTATTTATTTTTCCAGCCTCCCGAGAAGGTGTACATCGTGTGCCTTTCCGTGTAGATAGGATATGTTAGCAGTGGAAATCAACTGATGACCCCTCGTTCCACATTGTCCTGACTCTAGGAAGAAAGTCCAGGGGTCAGGCATTTTAATATGTTACCTTTAAATAGCTTTTGTATATAGCAATATAATATTCATAAATTCATGTAAGTGCCCCCAAATAGATATATTACTATATATGCACTTAAAATGTGTTTTGTATATGCCACATGTTAATCACACCTTCTTGCAACCTTGTGAGACAGTCTTTATTTTTACAGATGCAGAAACAGAAGACATTTGACAATTTTGCTAAGAGTATCAGGTCAGTCAGGTTTCTCCCACACAAACAATAGAAACCTATCCTAATTTAATCAGCAAATCGGTTCATGAACGTGGTCTTGGGAAGTTCACAGACTCTTGGAGAGGGTGGGAGATACGGGTGAAGGGGTGGTGTAGGTGGCAATGTGGATCCCTAAGACCCACTGCTGTGGCCCCAAATCCCGAGTGAGGCACTTCTGTCTCATGGCAAACTAGACAGAGGAAGTGGGTGTCATGCAGCCCAGAGAGGATGAGGGAGGCCGAGCTGCAGCCTGAAACAGCTGCTCCAGCTCTGGGGTATAGCCAACACGTGTCCCATGTCACTACATTGGTTGGGGCTCTGATGAGTTCTGGTCACCTGTCTGTACCCTGGGAGAGGCTGCCACCTGTGGATAAGAAAGGGGAGCTTCCAGCACCAGATGCCCGTGTGAATGACAGGTGCACTGAGCATCACACACCAGGGCAAGTGGAACCAGGCTTTGGTGCCGGATTCATTCTGCAGCAAAACCTCTTTTACCCTCCTGACTGCAGGTTCTGGAGAAACCTGGCATCTGCTGGTGTCGGCCCAGCCCAGAGGGTTCTCGCTGGTCCTGACAGGGCTCAGGATGCCTCCAGAGCACGCGTGTCTGAACAGTTTTTGTTCTGAAAGGGATGTAGTTCATCTGTAAGTGGAAGAAATGGATCACTGATGCTGACTGAACCTTGGGGGGAGGTGTAAAGTTACACTGTAGTGAAGTATTAGAGTCATTGTGATGGGATCATCAAAAAAGTGGCCCGAAATTGCCATGGTAGGAACTCTGAGAGGTTCAGGCCTGAGAAAGTGGAACGTCACGAGATATGCTTGATGACAACGCGTGCCTAAAGTAATCACTTCAGTCTTTTAACTTTTGCAACCACACAGGTAATGTGTGAGCATGATTTTTCAAAGATTAAATTCTCAGCTAAGTCTCAAATCATCTTGGCCGTCTCCAGCTGTCCCTGGAAATTTCCATTATATGTGAAGTTGCCGCTCCTACACAGTTAGTGTTGATTCTTTTAAATTGAAAAGATAGATTTGTATCATAGAAAATGGTTAGTACTGTCTAGTGTCGGTGCTGCCTTCGGTGCTGTGGCGCGGAGAATTTCCATGTGTGACACTGACCTCCCTCTCTGGTTAATGTACTGCACAGTGTTTATTTATATTGTGCAACCACACACCACAGCTTCCTCGGACGGGCTCCTGGTGATAGACATCTGGGATGTGGCTGGCTTTGCCAACAGTGTTCCAGGGCGCATCCTTGGATGCGTCTCTGTGTTCTCCAAGTGTTCCCTCCAGGGTGGCTTTGAGGGAATAGACCTGGTGAGTCACAGGGGACCCCCATTTAAATGATAAGGAAATTTGCCAAATGCCTGCACCAAATTACACTCCCAGGTGCAGTTTTGAGAGTTAAAGTTTTCCCACACCAATATTAGCGCAGTCTTGTTAATTTTTGCCCAGGAAAAATGGTTGAATTTGCATGTCTCTAAAGTTTGGTGATGGTGAATATCCTTTTTGGGCATTTGTTAGCAATCTGTAGTTTTCTTTTGTGAATGTTCTGTTCCTAGTCTTCCTCACCAGTATCCTCATGTATTTTATTCCTAGAATCCTGAGAATAAGGGTGATATCTCTTGTCCCTGGCTCTGTCTCTTCTACTCAGCAAAATGTGTAGTCATACAATAAATGCAAATACTCATGAAGGTGATTCCAGGTCACCACAGCCTCTAAACACAGATTTGCTCTGGTTTCAATCTTCAGTCAAGACGGTCTGAAATCTCTGTCCCAAGAGTGAGTGTTAGGCCCTCCACAGAAAAATCAGACCCCAGTCAGTTTTGCTAACATGTGACTGCCCTGGAATGTGATGTAACAGTGTGGAGCCTTATTGGGTATTTTTTTTTTTAACCACCCTGTCTTTTTTGTCTGATCAAGGCCAGCCAAGCATTCAGCAAAAGTGTTCCCTCCTCTATGCTTTCTTTGGGGGGAGGGTTAGTAATAAAAAATTTTTATTTTAGCAAATGTTTGCAGTGCATATTGAGTGTGTTCATCGTGGGGAGATGGTGGAGTCCATGTACAGAAAACCTGTTAATTCTACTTCTGCTTCCCTTCCCTTCCCTCTATCCCTTGGTTCCCATCCTATGTGCAAAAGATCCACCTATCTCTTTCTTGCTATTCACCTTTTATCTTGCCCTCATATTTTGGGTTTTTCCACACAAGAAACCATGTGATATTTAAGCTTGTGTGTCTGATCTATTTCACTTAACTTTATGGTGTAAAGGTGCATCTACTTTCTTATAAATGATTCAAGTTCTTCCTTCTTTAAGACAGAAAAGCATCCCTTGTGTACAAATACTACAGTTTCTTTTCCCACTTATTCATTGATGGGCATACAGGTGGGTTCCAGGATTTACCTACCATCCACCGTGCTGGCTTAAACTTGGATATGCATGTTTCCCTGTAATGTAATGCCTTTAACTCTTTCAGGAAGTTACCCAGAAAAGGAATTGTGAATGGCATGGAATTTATATATCTGGAGTTCTGAGTGATCTCCTGCTGAATTCCATGGTGGTTGTACTAGTTTGCCTCCCCACCAGCAAAGCAGAAGGCTCCTTCTCCCGCACACCCTTGTCAGTACTTGCTACTATGTAAGGCACTGAGGATACCCGTTCTTTCTGGAGTGAGGTGGAATCTGTGTGGTTTTAATTTGCATGTCTCTCATGGCCAATGATGTTGAATGTTTTTTCATGTATTCATTGGTATCTGTATTTCTATTTGTTAGAAGTATCTACACATTTTAATTACACCCTTTTTATTGGGTCTTTTATTTGGGGAGTGTCCAATGCTTTTAGAGTTCATTATATATTTTGGATATTAGTTCTTTGTCTGAGGAGTTGTTGGCAAAAGAAATTCCCCATTTGGTAGTTTGCTTTTACCCCCCTTCTATTGATACCTTCCTTTGCTGTGCAGAAGCTTTTTAAATTTAATATATAACAGTACCTCAACTCACGAACACTCCCGCTTGGAAACAATTTGGTTCACAAACAAAAGTGTCCAGCAAAATTTTGCTTCTACCCACAAACTCAAAGAGTCAAACACAACCACAGCCACCTAACCCAGCCAAAC